GCTCATAGTGACCCTCCTGTTTCAGCCTCCCTAGCACAGGTCGGGCTCATAGTGACCCTCCTGTTTCAGCCTCCCTAGCGCAGGTCAGGCTCATAGTGACCCTCCTGTTTTCAGCCTCCCTAGCACAGGTCGGGCTCATAGTGACCCTCCTGTTTCAGCCTCCCTAGCGCAGGTCGGGCTCATAGTGTCCCTCCTGTTTCAGCCTCCCCAGCACCGGGATTCCAGGCTGCGCCACCATGACTGACGCAGTCGCCCGGGGGCGGGGCCAGCGTGGCGTGTGGTGCTGAGGATCAAACCCCGGTTCCTGCATCTGCCTAAGCAATCACTTAGTCTGCTGAGCTATCTCGCAGGCCCTGCTTCCTGGCTTTTCCACTTAAGCTTTGCAATACTCTTCTGAGGGAGGTATCATCCACAGATTACGATTAAATAGTTATTGACTTCACTTACTCAATGGCATGATGCAGTACCTGCCAGAACTGGGATTCAAATTCGACTTTGTTTCATAAATGCGGAAAGTGCAACCACATAACCTTTCGATATGCTTTGTTATTAAAAACAAAACAAAAAACCCATACTAACAGACTTTCTCCAACTATCTCATGGGGCTTTTTTTTTTTTTTTCAGTACTGGGGATCGAACTTGGGACCGTGAGCTTACCAGGCAGCACTTATACACCACTATCTCCCTGACCTGGATAGCGCTTTAGTGAGAAAAAATATGACGATATAAAAGTACAGTGCAAACTGCTAAGAGATCTCTGTTCAAGGCCCTCTCCTTGTTTTCCCACTACACCTGGGTCTATCCTCCTTGTGTCACACTACAGTGTACTTTCCTATCAAAGCAGGGACTCTGACAGAATAATGACTGCATCTAAGTGACCACTCGATTCTGGTCATATAGCTCAAAACTTTTAAAGAAAGGAATTCTCAAAAAAAAAAAAAAAAAAAAAAAGTAGTGTCCATTCCCGTAACTTGGATCTCATCACTCACTCCTTCCACCTAAGTTCAATTACGGCAGCAGGCACACACGAGCACCTTCCACTCTGACTAGGCCCAGGGGTCTGAGAGAGAATGGAGCGAGCTGGAGGTGCCTTAGCACTCATGTGCCCCTAAGCCAGCACCTCCAGCGGCACCCAGGAAGCTCACGCCACGGGGAGGCAGCGTAGACCTGAGGCGTTTGCTGCTCCTATCATGAACAGCGAGGTTGTGCGTCCAGATGGCAGCGCCAGGGGCACATGCCGGCCTTGCCGCGTTCCAGCAATACTTCAGGTCCCTCATCTATCCATGTAGAGACAGTCCCCGCAGCCCCAGGGCCGCAGGGAGGACCACGGTGCTATGCGGAAAATGCCCATCTCAGGGCACTTACACAACAGCGGCTGCTCTGCTGCTCACAGCCCAGGTTCAAAGCACAGCCCCCCCCCCCCCACGTAATGCCATCGTCTGCTTACCTCTGGTTCCCATGCTCAACTGTTCGTGAACACCAGAGCTAATTTTAAGAAGCAGTATATCACCAGGAAAGGGGGCAGAATCCAATCCAGATGAATGGGCAAAAAACCCAACTCTTACACTAAAAAACCGGCCACTTAGCCACTTCTTTCACAACAGTTGTGCACTTCTCACCTTGAAAGTGAACTGGTCACCCACATCCTCTTCCACTGACAGCTTGGTTACCCCACCTCACACTGACTGGTTACCCGCTTCTTACTAAGCGACACACTGGTTATCCACACCTTAAATGGACAAACTGGTTATTTACACCACACTTACTCTACACTTACCAAGTCTACAGCACCATGCTATGCGTAGGAACACTGCATGGACAGATAAAGGGTTATCTCGTTGCCCAGAGCTGCGTGTTCATGCTGAACTCTGTGTCCTGAGCAATGCTACCTACTTTATGACCTTCTTCCTGAAGAGGACACGGACACGCGGTGCCAGTCACGCAGCTTACGTGTGCCCGTGGCTCAGCGAACATGGGTAGCACCCGGCACTCTCCCGGTGGCCCGCCCCAGCACCTGCCCGGGACCCCTGAGTCCCACTCCCACAGGCCGCGTTGCAGGCTTTCACTTCCTAGGCGGGAACCACGCGGTGGCAATGCTGCCAGGAGTTAGGAAATTCCTCCCTGTTACTCACATGAAAAGCTCCGGAAAGGCGTGCGCCCACACGACAGACTGCGAGTCTTCATTCCGTGAGGCGACGTTGCCCAAGAACTGCAGGCCACAGCGGAAAGCTGGGGGGTGGAAAAGCAGAACAGAAAGGTCTCTCACTACACACACGAATAAGCACCCGTGAACAAGACGCAGGCCTCAGGTCACTAAGTCCAAGTTTCCGCTGGTTTCTTTTAAATATAAAGCGCTCTCTCCACTGTACAACTACAGGCATGGCTTTAACAGTGCCTCGTCAAAGCCACAGACTCTGAACAACATTAATTCACTTCTTTAAAAATACTATAAATGTAAACATGAATATACCTATAATGACATTCAATATCTGGAATATGAGCTCTAATTAAAAGACAGTTATACTCAGAGCGGATTTTTAAAGCTCTAATTATGTGCTATTTAAAACAGACATCTTCAGGAGGCTGAGGCAGGACAATCAGCTGGAGGCCAGGGTATGCTACCTCTGAAGTTCAGGCCCAGCCTCGACTAAACAAGAGAGATTCTGTCTCAAATCGCCCCCCAAAAGGAGAAAAGTTAAAACAGACATATCTAAAACATCAAGGTTATAAAACTACTGGAAGTTAAAGGGTTGTAAAAAGATATAGCAAACATTTATTTTTGTTTAATCAAATAAACAAGAGGGTTTTTCCATGGGGAAAAAAAAAAAGATATAGCAAGCAAATAACAGAAGCTATCAACCTCTTAGAATCAGACATAATAAAACTTAAAGCAAAAAGCATTATTAGAGTTTTTATAAAGCAGTAATTAGACAATGACCTAATTTATCAGAAAGTTATAACAATTTTAAACTGGAATGTACCTAGTAACATGACCTCAAATATATATAGAAGAAAAACTAACAAAAACAAGAGAAAAATAAACGGACAATCACATTGGATAATTAAAAGATACCTTTCTCAGCAACTATAATCAGGCAAATAAAACTTCAGAACACCAGCCAAAACCCGGAGCAGGGACACCACCAGGGCCAGCAAGGATGTGGAAGCACAGGAGGTCTCAGTCACTGCTGGTGGGAACGGCCACTCTGCAAAGCAGCTTGGCAATTTCTTAGGACTCTAAACATACTTTACCGTATGATCCTGCAGTTGTGCGCCTAGCAACTGACCCAGGGAGCTGAGAACGTGTGCCGCCGAAGTACCTGCACGCGAAGCTCACTCCTAAGCGCAGAGGCCCGGAGCAGCAAGACACCCTCCAGCGTGGCCCAGCAGACAAGGGAGCACTATTCTGCACTAAACAGAAATGAGCTATCCAGGCAAGAAAGGACGGAAGACAGACACCCACCACTAAATTCAAGAAGCCAATCTGAAACGATTCTAACCAAGTGACATTCTGCAAGAGAAAAAACTAAGACAGACAGGTACAGCATGGCTGCCAGGAGCTAGGGGGACGAGTAGGTTCAGCACAGAGGACCACTAGGGTGTGCAAGAGCCCTCCCAGGTACTGCAGAAGTGCACTCATGTCGTCAGGCATCCGCTCAGTCCACAGAGCGCACAATACCAAGAGAAGGACCTAAACCATGGACTTTGGGTGACCGAGATGTGACAAAGGACAGTCCCCCTTCATAACAAATGGACCACTCTGGTGTGGGGTGTCGCAGTGAGGAGGGCTGTGGATGTGTGCAGGGAAGGGACAGGCATGAAAACTCTGTACCTTCCTCTCAATGTTGATGTGAACCTAAAACTGCCCTAAAAAATGAAGTCTAGCATTCTACTGTAAAATAAAACAGTATAATAAAATTGTTAGTGACACCTTCCAAAAAGACTTTGGTTCCATTCCCAACTTGGGGTGAACCTGGGCAAGTAGCCCACCATTTCTGAGATCCAGTTTCCTCACCAGCCCATGGGGCTGTCATGTGGGACTGTCTTAGGGGCACCGTGGGGGGAGACGGCGCTCAGGGTGTTGGGCACGCAGCAGGTAACGCAGTGAAGCCCCACCAAGCCCCTCTGCCCCAGCACGCTGGGGTTGATACACGTGAGCTGCCAAGTCAGGCGCCCGTGAGACGACACCATGAGTGCGCTCCTGCACCCCAACTGTGAGCAGACGCCCACGTGCTCCTCTACCACCTCCTCTGGACCTCGCGCCTGACATGGGAGATTTTAGCCTTATCCACGAGCACAGGAAACCAAGGCCCAGGGAGCTAAGAGGCAGGACTGAAGCTCCACACTTAGTGAGTGTCTCCTGTCAGGGTTTATCCCTGAGACTGTATCAACCAGTAAGCCAAAAGCGCTATCTCGGGCTCATCAGACGCTCCACATGGTAATTACAGATGAACCTGACGAACCCAAAAGAAAATGTAACACTAACAACAAAGTCCTGCAGAGCGCCAAGTCTTCTCAAGGACATACAGCAAGCCATAAAACAACATTTCACTATGCAATGGAGCATGACACAACCCTAAACAAATTTTAAAGGACTGACTTTACAACTGTGATTATGCTAGACATAAATCTTTCAAATAATCAGAAAACTCATACTTAAAAGTCAAGAGATACACGGCATCCTAGCATACAATGAACACAACTGACTGAAACGTTCTGTGAAGAGAGTTTCTGTAAAGAGAAAGTCGGAAGAGGGTCAACCCCCGAGGAAGTGTGAACCAGCAGCCAGAACCTCTCCGAGAAAACACTGCCCCCACCGGGGCCCACCTGGCCAGCTCCTCTCACGGAGGGACTCGCGTTCCCACCAATTGTACACAACTCCAGAGGGCAGAAGAACACACTCCCGAGCCACTTCTGTGAAGCTGAACAACGTATTAAAAAAAAATGAACGCAGCGATGCAAAACACACTGACCTTCAATGTACACCTGCGCTGAATGCTGCTTTAACATTTGAAAATAAAAATGTACAACTGACCGCATCAACTGTGTATAACCACTATAAAGTTATGAAAATTAAGCAATCATCACAAACACTATAGAAAACATAGTTGATAAAATTTAATATCTAGTCATAATGAAAAAAAAAATACCTGGCCACCAAAGACTACTGAAGAAGCGGGCTTCTCCAGCCTGCAGTGGGCCTCAACCTCGCCCTCACGCAGTCTGCAGCACCGTACAGTTCACGGCCACCTGCAGACAGGAAATTCTTCTGGGGGCCGAGTCAAGGTATGCTGTCACCATTTCTAGCCAAGACTACTGAAAATCCCAGCCAGAAAGTCAAATGAAAGATCTAAGAACTGAAAAGGAACAAATTAAACTGTCACATTCGCCCCTCAGATGAGATAAAAATATAGGCAAAAAATATTTTTAAACGTATAAGCTCTTGGCATTGATAAGAAAACAAAGTTGCTAGCTACAAAGTTCACATATTAAAAAAAAAAACTTACAATATATTTCTGTATATAGGAACAAACGAAAAGACCAAGGAAACCATTTATGAAAGGATCAAAAATCTAACTAGAATTGAGGTATAAGACCACCACGGAAGGAAGTACAAAACGTAACGGAGATGCATGAAAGCAAAATTAAAAATTATACCAGGTTCCGAGAGAACTCCGTCTTTCTCTAGAGATTAAATGCAATCCATCTGGGTCGCAAGAGGTACATGTGTGCATGACTGCGTGTGTCATTTCACATACCAGGGACACAGGTACGCTTGTGTATTATCTGATGAGCTGGCTCTAAAATTCGTGGTCAGAGGCAAGGGATGTAACAGCTAAGGAGGTGTTGAAAAGCAAGGAGGAAGGGCTCGCATCCGCAGGACAGGACACAGTCACAGGCGACGCAGGGGGCTGGGCTGGGCAAGCAGGCCAGGAGCCCAGTGAGAAGCATGCTCACCCTGCACAGCCTTACAAGCCATGACCGAAGTGTGACGGGCTCATTAAGCAACTCTGTCTTTTCAAAAACAGCCAGGACAGCTGGGTGTCAGCTCAGAAAAAGATAACACTGTACTCACCGAACATCCTATTCCAAGTACAGACCTAAATATAGAAGGCAAAAATCACAAGCTTAAGAAAACACTAGAGAAAGACTTTTAAACACGATGAAATAAAATAGCACCCACTTTTAAAAATATTTATAGGGGGCTGGAGAGATATCTCAGTGGCCTAACCAGCCTGCCTTGCAGGCGCAAGGACCCAGGTTGGATCCCCATTACCACTGTGCTGGCCACAGAAACCAGGCATGGTGGCACATACTTATAATTCCAGTGCTGGGGAGGCTGAGACAGGAGGATCACTATGAGTCTGAGCTGTGTAGCGAGACCCTGTACCAAATAAATAAAT